GTATTTAAAACATATATAAATAAAACAATGGTTATAAAACTGTTTACCTAAAAAAGTATTAGCAAATGTACAAGGTATATATAACCTTTTTTTTTTTTAATTTTATTTTTGTTACTTATGCAGTTCCTACACTTTACCTTTAGTCATTTCATTTTATTTTTCCGTATTAGGGTAGTACGGAAGAGATCGCTTGTTCGCGATAAGATTCTCCGTTTCGTCCATAATAATTAAATAAAATAAATAAATATTATTTGTACTTTTAGACCAAATTGCCATTTTGGCAGAACGCCGCAGTTATTTAGTCATTTCTATCGACAGACGACACTCTGAAGTTCGTAATCTTTTTAATAATTATTATAATGTTAAATGAATTCCATTTTTGTGAGGTCTTGTTCACGACAGATATAATAAAGTTGGTGACAAAAATATTATCGTCACCGAAAAATACCCCCGGTGAAGTCGTCATTCGTACTCGAAATTAATTTGTATATTGTCGCGTAGTACAAGTAATAAGCATCTCTTAGAAAACTTAGTTTATATATATATTCCTAGTTTTTTATATTATTTATATGTCCCTTCCTCTTGAAGGCGTTGCAAAAACTAATTAAAAATTCCAACGACTAATGAATAGCTTAAAAAAAGTGCGCGTGAAGAATTAGAAAGTTGTAACACATAACTGTGAAATATATAAACTATAGGCCTTTGCAAATATGATTTTAATAAAATAAATTGGATATTTACATAATAATTACTAAACCTTAAAGTACAAAAGTTTTCATTAATCAAATATTATATTGCTAGACATATAATATGATTTATTTTATACAAACATAAAACCAATTCACACTTATTAATTAGCTTAAATGTAATATTATAATATTTTATTATTAACTAAAATGCCATAAGTAAATTACAATTATATTCCACAGGGATCAAACTTATTAAATTTGTTTTAGTTTTCTATTTATAATAATGTAAATACGTTTCCTTATACAATTCACGGGTCTCACCCTGAATCTACCTGCATCATCATTGACTACTTTTCTCTTTAGCTTTGTTATTATTCTAAATCCAGTGATAGTTTATTATTTCTTATTATCCATTAATAGTATGACGATTAATATTATATTTTCTAAGGGATGGAAGCAGGAAGGAAGGTAATAAAAAGGAAAAGATAAATAAAAAATTGTGGTCAACGTTTAGCGATTCAAATTACCCGCTGTCGCCTGTTATGTATAATGTACTCCAATGAATCACCTGCTCAAGTCACGTCAACACAGTTTCACTATAGACTCGATGGAATACGCTCATCGCTTATTCGTTTAATTACGATATAAAAACTACTCGTTCGAAAAATTTGAATTTGGAATTAGTGAAAGTGCTGTGTTTTTTGTCTTGTAATTAATGTGATAGAAATGTAATAAGTGGTAAATTAAATTTTTGGTAAGTTATTACGTTTTTTAAGTTAATCTAGTTACGTTAGTTGAGGAAGAAATAAATTATTTTTTATTTTAATCGTTGGTGAATTTTGAACGGTTTGACACTAATTATAATAAATTAACGTTGTATTACTTTTAGCCTCTGTAGCTTTATTTTAAAAGTAAAACTACTTCGCACTTATTTAAAAAGCGTAAAAGCCTTATTATGTAGACTATTGTTATATTAATTCTTTGTTCTAAACAGATAAATATCTACAAACAACATCCGCTAAATGTAACATAAAAAATACATATAAAGATAAAAGACTATAATTGTATACAGCGAAACCGAAGACTAACATCAAAAGATATATCCGCTAAATAAATTGGTGATGACAGTCGATCACGAGGTTTAAACCAGTTTGTTTTAATCTACATTCACGGTCACATACCTGAACCTATAGTTTATGTCAAATTACTTTTAAAACCCGTAAAATTATATTTTATGTTTCCAAGTTCTGTCATCAGGCCTTAGTGGTCGTTGAACGATTGCTCTGTTCAATACTTTTAGCTTTTAGGTCTCTGGTATATGATCTCCCGGTAAAAAGCACCCTATGTATGCATCGCTCAAACATAACTGGTGATTGTCCCTTTGATGGATAACATCATTGGTGATAATTAGTTTAACATAATATTTGTTTAAATAGCTATAACTAAAATATATTATGTACTTCAAACTTTACTAGAATAAATTTATAATAACCAAATTTGAAGCGTTCAATAGGAGGTAAAGCGAAATTCATAGTATTGTTTAATAATGTAAGAAAGTAAAAATATCTTGGAGAAGATTTAGCTTTTTGGATTATGGAGCAATTATGGATTTCTATACTATATCCGCCATCAAAACCAACCTATCAAGAAGATAGCATATAATTTATATATTTATATTGCTTGAATTTTAATGAATTCCACGTTAAGGGTAGACATTCTTCTTGAAGACGGTCATTTTATGCATAATAAAAATTCTGAGTAATTGTTTACTTGTGGTCATTCAATGGAAAACAAGGAAGGTTACTGCGGTTTATCAATAACTCAACAATAATGAGTGTTTTATCACCTCACATTTTCCTTAGAATTAGGACAAATTATTCTTTAAATAAAAAGTAACTTTCTATAAGTAACGGCAAGCTTTTATTCGATATTTTTATACGATTATTATGTAGTAGAAAAGCACTTAAATTAATTTTCATTTGTTTTATTTAATATCCCTTCAATCTATACAACTTTTAACTGCTTGCAAAACCTCAAGTACCAATTTGAAGTATTCTTATATGATAACGATCGTATTGTATGGTAATACTATATATTGTCCTACATCTAAGAGAGCCAAGGTTGTTTTAGAGAAAATAATAAACATTCGTAGCTATGAACCATTATTCTATTTTACGACTTCGGTATCGCTTAAGTAAAATTATATTTTATCTGAATTTTCATAACCGATAAAATTCTTTTAAGATAGCCATTGTACCCAACTTTAAAAGCAGTATTGTTCTTGTGGCTTGAGCATGCGACTTTCATCCCGCCTTGGAGTCGTAACTCACTTTTCGAACTCTCACAGCGGTTTTCACCGCGGCGATCGCGCTCAAATCACGAAAGTCGGTTACGTTTGAATTCTGATAAACAATAAACTACTAGCTCCTCCGTATCAGAATGCCAAATCGTAAAATGACTTGCACACGTACGGATTTGAGGTTACAGAACCATCATAGAATTTTCAACCCGACTGTGCACGAAGAGACTTTATTTCCTATGTGCGTATGTAACACTCGCACGTACGGTGAAGATCCTGAGGAACTCGGCAAGCCCTAGACCCAAAAAGACACAGAATGCTGATTAGTTTAAAAAATTAGAAATTGCCCATTAGAATAAAACAATCATGAAACAGACATCTGAAGCCAAGACAGGGGTTGGCTGTTTTTATACCAAAGCGTCAATAGAGAATATATGTCTAAGTATTACTCATAAACTTCGATGGTAGTGAGACCTAGTTAACAGTTTATACAACCCACACTTAGGGTTGACACAGAATTAAAAATACAATATTAATGAAACCTATATCACCTTCAATGCCAGACCAAACCAGTCTTACTCTTGCATCTTAATACGATCAAATTTTGTCAGCCGTACCAGATGTTATTATGAATTCCCAGCACACCATGTAATACCATTGTATGTAAATATCAGCCTTTAAATTGGCCTACATCTAATTCGTTTCCTGATCTTAACAACGCCTATGTAACATGTCGTTTTGTTTCGTAGGTAAAGGGAAAATATTTGCACATGAATCGAAATTTTGTTTCTTTATCAATATTTTTGCGAGTAACTGGATCGAGAAGGTTAGGTACTGCCGGGCGATTCTGTTAATCCGTCAGTTCACCTCGCACTAACAACGCTCCCTTCGTCACTCATGTCATTTTTGGAATCTCATGGTATTCTGTTAAGCAATTTCACATTACGTCTTGACAAGCGGAGGGAGCTTGTAGTTTATTGTTTATCAGAAAGCCAAATCGTAAAATGAATGCTTCAGGACTGATTTGAGCGCGACCGCCGCTGCGAAAACCGCTGTGAGAGTTCGAAAAGTGAGTTACAGAACTGAAGGCTGAACGCGGTTAAGGCCGTATCCGGAAGCTAATTTAAAAAAACTTAATAAGCTCATATTACTTACATAAATATCCGAATATCGTTAACATGTTACAATGTTTTATTTGCGATATAGTTTTGTGCCTTAAAGATTGTTTTATCGATTTATAATATACATTGTAAGTTTAGAATTATTCTAGATGTTTGTTACGTAAAATGTAACTAAGATACAAAGTATAGAACATAAAGTCAAGGATGTTTTAAAAATAATATTATTTTGTCACGAATACTCTCATTAACAATAAAACGGTGAGAGAACAATTGTCAATTGTTACATTCATACATATTTCACTTCATACTTGTCATGAGTCAAACGGTGATTTATTGTCAAACGTTAAATGACCATACTATAAAGAATAATATACAACCTGGCTCAGTTGTGAACGGAAATCATGCAGAAGTTTTGATTCTTGGCAAAAAAACGGGTTTTGGGTTAGACCGTAACATAACACTAGTTACATTCGAATAAAGAAAATATCATTTAATAGTGCATTTCTACGCTTGATCATAATATGCGTTATGTACTTGTCAGTTAACCATAAAAATATGTTTTTATAATGTTAAAAAATAGAAGAAAGACAAAGAGAACTCGACTTTTATTACTTTTTTTACTTATTTGAATTAATGTTGATATATATTCACCAAATCAAATAAATAATTGAAAAATAATTTACATTTATAGCATTTCTTACTTTCTCCATAATTATCGACAACTTCATTCTGATATTTCCGGAAAAGTATTACAAAATTTACATAATATCAGCTAAGGTCGCGCGGTACTGATCATTCAACAATATCAAAATTAAAAACTTTTCCTTTATTTCAGATCTCAGAAGGAACCAAATATAACGAACTGTCGTAGTATAATGTGAAGATGTAAAGATGCTGTTTAAATTGTGCAAGTCTTGTCAATAGTAAGTATCTTAATTTTATTGTAACTTAAAATTATCTAATATTTGATCGAAATGCTTTTAATTCCCTTATGTGGTCAAAAAAACTGGTTCTAGTCATAAAATATTTAAAGAGATTTATTAGAATGACCGGTATAATAGTTTCCTCAAGCATTAGAATAAGTAATACGATAAATTTTGGAATGATAACACATAGTTTTTCCAATATGTATTTGTATATATTATATCCAATTACTAAAAGAAGTTAAAAATACATTTTCATGCATCCGTTTCGTTCCAAGTACGTCCATTTAAATTAATTATAATTTGGCGATTTTACAAATTATTTGCAATATAATTAATACAAAGTATGATTTTTTATGCCTTAACCTATACCGAACCGATTACAAATTGAAAAAAAAACCACTACTTGATGCCCAAAAAATTGAAAACATAATTTAATTACATCCTTAAAACTTTTAATTTAAAGAAAGAAAATAATATTAATATTTTTATAGAGCATAGGTTGTTCTTATAATGTCGCGTCTCCGTCTGAACATAAACTCGAAAACTAAATCACACATATCAAATACATATAATCAAAGATATGTGTTTTAGTTAGGGTTATTCCGGCTTTTTCCAAACTTTACTCGTTTATCGCGTAATACAATGACTTTTCATAAAATAATTATTACGATTGAATTAAAAATAAAATTTATATTATCTTATTCATATTTTATTGTAAATGGTGTTGGTAATTAGGCTATAATAAGTGTAGCTTGAGTGCACAAATGGATATGTGTGTAATCAACGAACGAACTTGCTCAAACTGAGCACGTCGGAGACGTACCTACCTACCAGTAAAACTTTATAGCGTGAGTGAGACTCAGATGGTTCATCACCTATTTGCCATTTGACGAAAAAGAATTACAGAAACAGCTGAAGCTGAAGAAAGAGAGTGAGAACTCTCATTTGACAGTGATCAAAATAGCAACCCCGTTTTTTTTAATGTAATTAATAAAAAAAGTTTCATAGCTTGTAATCTAGATTTCGTGAAAAACCGGGCAGAAAATAAATGGCAACTACTTGAAGTTACCTAGATTAGATTTGCTAAAGTTAATACCTCAAGGTGAATCTGAAACTGATAAGTGCCATCTGTCAAGATTAACTTGGCAGTTCATTACCCTTGCACAATAAAATTTATTGTACACATAATTTTATTTATAAACATGTACCTCGTAGCTATTCGTGGGTTAGATCCAATATTGTGTTTCTTTCAAATATAAAATATAAATAGTAGTACTCCTTTTAATAAACATGAAAAGGGATGTTTACCGACTCTTTTTTTTCAATTAATAAGACTTACTTAATACAATTGTATATTCGTCCAGGTAACCTACCAAACACCTAAAGGTTCTATAATAAAAAACATATTTTGATTATGGGACCTAAACTAAACTGGAGGAACTCAAAACTGTTATGTATTTCACAAATTATATATTGTTTACTCGTATCTTAGCAGATTAGAAACCCTTATAAAACAAACATCCCTCTTTAACTAATTATATCTTTCCTTTTCAGCTGCTTGGAGACACTATATTGGACATGTTGCGAAGAAAGATTTTGCTTTGATAAAAAAATAGCTACATATAAGTAAGTATAAATGCTATAATGTAATAAATAATCTACGTTTAGTCATAGTATATGTAGTATCTCTGAAGTTAACTTATTTATAAAGTTAGGCAATAATCCTCTCCACTTCTAAATTCTTGTTCCAAATAAGTTACTACGATATTTCAACCATCCAAACCGTGATGTCGTGTGGCAATTGATTTCTCTATATATAATTTTTTTTTGCGGTTTTTGCAATTATCAGCCCTAAGGCTATTTTTTTCTGTGGTGCTGTATGTGGAGTGACTTCCCATTGGAAGCATCTACTCATCTTATGTCTAGAGCTACTGCCGGTCTTCTAGCTCTAGAGTATGGTGACGTTTTAGTCGACTCACATACTGTCTGATGGTAAGTTGGCGGAGCAAGTTCATTCGGGTGACAGCTTAAACGCTTTTTGTAATAGACAAATAGACGACCAAGGCCTATATTATAACGATAACGTCATGTTAAATAGTACTTCCTATATAAATAAGATAGTTGTATGTGTAAATAAGTATCTAATCGAAAGTGCATGCCGCTAAAACCTAGATAAATATGTTTTATTGATAACAGCGTTGTAATATAGAGGTCGTATATGTATAGTATTAATAACTATTTCCGTTTTAACTTTTATACGTTATTTATATGAATTGAAGGTCTCCCTTATAAAATACTAGTTTTGCCCACGGGACCAAGTCATACGGTTCTTAAGTATTTTTGAATTACACATCAGCCATGATTTCCTTCTTGTAGCGATACTCTCTTAGGCAATAAATATTTATTTGTTTTCTGTATTGCACAAAATCTTCAAAAGAGGCTAGCAGGCAAGCATTTGTATTTGGCTCTTTTGTATAATTTTGACAACCCTAAACTTGGTTTACTGATTTATCATCTTATTTTACCGGAAAGCTGGGTTACGGAAGAATTAGTATTCGATAATAGCACTGTATGGGGCCCACGCCAAAGTTAACACTTACTAACATTTCAGACTAGAAGACAACACTCTCTACACCAATGGCTATTCCAATATGGGTGCAAGTTTAGACAGTGTCATTACACAACAACCGATTAACAACAATCATTTACCCCCAACTGCTATTATTGGAAGAGAAATCAAGGAATTACCCTTGCACGCTGATAAGTTGTACGAGGTACGTGATTCTATGATCATTAATATAAGAAGTTTCTGTGTTCACTTTTGGATTTGTAATCTTTCTTTTATTTTTACAAAATTACTTGTGCCAGCGGTTGTACCGGCCGAAGATGTAAATAAAGTGTAGCCGATATTAATATCAGCTACACTTTATATAAATACTAATATTTTTTAATATAGGTAAATTAAACACTAATCTATTCAAGTTGTGTTTTAATTATTTTCATATATTCCAGGTCTTTTCAAAATCATTAATATTCAGAGACGAACAAGAGCTGAAAACAGGTAGCACGAATACATTAGATGAAATGGAAACTAAATCTGAACCCGACTACTTATCTGATAAACCAAATCGAACCAAAGTGTATTTCGAAGATGAAGTTGATTCACCCGTAACAGATTTCGAAATAATGTTTAAAGATGAACTTTTGGCGTCATATGATATGTTTAAAATAGAAGAGGAAGAAGAAGACACCAGAAGTCAAGACACCGAAGAAGGATTAACTATGATAGCCATTAAAAAGCAGGATGTTATCAAACCAAGCACCCTAACCTTGAAAGACGAGGTAAAAATCAAAAACCAGCATCCAGTTTATGAGTACGACCCAGTTTCAGTAATTACCCTTCCTTCAACCCTTGTGTTACCCAGAATAGAAAGTGTTAAAGGAATTCTTAGAACGAACAGTGCCAAAACTTTGGATAGAATTGATAGTTCCAGCAAACTTAGGCCAATGTTAAATAGAGTGGAAAGTCTTAAAAGTATTGACCCAAATAAAATTAATAAGGTTTTATCAAGGGTGCCACATAGGAGTGCATCATTTTTGAATATCCCAGCTTACCTTACACCAGAGAAACCTCCCCTTATTAAAAGCAAATCGACGCTCGGAGTGCCATCCCTTACTGAGAGTGAACTAAAATTAAGTTCTTTGCCAGACACGCCGATAATTAAAAGTAATAATTTACCTAGATTCTTTGCGGATACACCACCTACTATGCCAGAATTTAAGGGAGAAAATAGTTTACAAAGCATTAAACAAAAAACCGCCCTTATGTTTAAGGAAAATGATTACAGTATGCCCAGGTATTATGGTACGGTTAAATCTGCAGAATTGTCTGAGAGCAAATCAATGCCTGATTTAAGAATTCCTAATTCGACTGATAAAGCAAGTAAGCGGCTAGTTAAGTTAAGAAGTAAGTTGAAGCCTTTGGTTATACGAAAAAGCTCTGAAGAAAGACTGTAGTTTATTTAAAATATAAGTGATCGCGAAGCACCAACAGAAAATACCAGGAATTCAAAGTACCTTAATTTTTGTCAGTATTACTCTTTCCCTTGATCTTAGTATTTCATTTGAATTTCTAATAGTGACGTATATTTAAATTTTGTTGACGTTAGTTACATTTAATAATTGACATTGTATTACGAGTAGTAAGTTGATGAAAAATGAAAGCAGTTTCATTAAAAAGTTATCTATGACAAAACTAAATAATTCGATGCATTATCGAATTTGACCTTTAATGACTCTGAATTTTAATAAAACATGTATTAAATTATTCATGTACTTACTTGTTATTGTGATAAAAAAAAATTACATTTACTTGTTATATTATTACTATGTACCTTTAAGCTTTCTTTGTCGTATTTTTTTAGCCAAAAAGTGTATTTTTATGTAATTTGTCAAAAACAGTTAAATGTTATTTTTTTTAAGTAGGTCCCATTTACGTAGTAGGTTACATTATCCCTGTACATATCTTATTGTGTGCTTACGTACTGTTTAGTTAGTAAAACTTTAAATATAGTCTAAGAAGTTATTGCCCAAAAATATAATACGTAGTATCGAATGTTTCCGTTAATTATTATTAGTTAAATATATATCGTCCCAATAATTTAGTGAGCGGCCATTATCCTTAATTTTATTTCTCTAGTCATGTGTCATAATCATTACGTATAAATAAGATACATTAATATTTTTTAATAAGTAAATTATTTGGAAAATTAAATATCTCTAATTATGTGATTTGACGTTGATCTGTTACAAATTGATGTTAATAAACGATTATTTCATCGAAATGTATTATTATTTTTCGTTCTAAAATATTAACGAATGGATTGAATTAGCCATATTTATTTTATTTCGACCCTTTTCTTGGGGTTAAATTTGACTAGATTTAGTCGACCCCACGACAGACAAAAGTTTGTTCCGACAACTGCCCGAGAAACACCTGCACGGCCCGTGTATATCGCATGCAGAGCAATGAATGTTGCTAAGTTGCAACATATCATTGATATGCAGAAGAAACAGGGTCGGGGACACAGTCTTGTGGGTCCCCAGTGTTCACGGGTTTAAAGTCGGAACATGATCCGTCAATGACGACCTTGATGCTCCGATCAGCGAGAAAGCTGGAAATCCAATTGCATAATTTCGGGCCTAGAAACTTCAAAAGAAGCGCTCTGTGCCACATCCATCGAAGGCTTTCGATATGTCTAAACTTATCCCCAGCGCCTCTCCATCGGACTGAATTGCCTATGCCCATTTATGTGTAAGGTTATTTAATTTTTTTACTTTTTAAATGTTTCAAAAAAGTAATAAAAATCGAGCCACGAGTGAGGGGTACTTATAAGATTACCAGTCAGCTTCGCACATAGAGAGGAAAATCCATAACAGAGCCGGAATTAGATTTCACCTCGGGGTTATGAATCGCTTTTAAAAACGGAAATAAAAAAAGGTTTTGAAAAAGCGCACAATATATTATGATCTATTTCATACATTTAATTTGGTACATAATTATTGGTAATTCATCGCAACATTATTTTACAATCACTAGAAAAATTGAAGACCTACTAATACTAATAAGATATTAATATTTATAACAAGTTATTTTACCGATACTGCCATTTACCTATCTGACCCGACGAATGCGGCTTTATAGCTACCACTACGCACTATAGAAGTGCTGCCAGGTCAGATATGTGAAGGCATTTTATACCTTACAAAGCATGTTCTAAGTTAATTATGTAGGGGTAATAATACATATTATAGTGGTAAAAATAATAGTTTATATTTGTTTTACAAATCTTTTGGTTCACAGCATTTATTGACCGAATATCTAAAATCAGCGTCAGAAACAATTAATAATACAATGAAGTAGGGATGAAACGTGATCTCATGTACTGTTACATTAATGTACTTCGACTTTAAAATCTATAACTTCGTTTAGTTAGGATTCCTATAGTTCTAAGCCTACACGTGTTAGAACCACGAAAACGAATAAAATTTAGTTGACGTTGACTACCATGACCAAGTATTCAAAGTAATAATGAAACAATCAAAAGTCATGATATAGCATCAGTTTTTACTGTATTATAAAAGGGTACTTGACACACAAGCTTAAGTGTCCACTCGCTCTCCTATCTAACAACTGTACATAGGACTAACCACGTTCAAACTAAGAATATTCTCGTATTAAATTGTATAGAGGTTATTAAGCCATGTGATTACTAAGGCCCTTGCTTAGACAAATGTATCTATAGCGACACCTACTCATACAATCCCTGCCCACGAATCACTACAATTACGTCTTTACCCTGAAAAGCGCTAACAAAGTTATTGCGCTAATCTTCTCGATCTTAGTCATTGGAGCCTGGGCCTGTCAGTAGACTGGTCGAGGGAAGGGAAAAGGAGGATCCCTTTAGCTTGGAGGAATAGGTCACCATCTTCCTCCACATACCCTTATTAAGATACATTTGAATTGGAACGAAATCAAAGAACGAATATACATCAATTGAACAGAATTCGTCTTACAAAGAGAAATAAATTGCGTGGAAACAAAAGCCGACCTCCCTTAGATTACTTCATTATTACTTTATACTGGAGAATTGTTATAGCATCCTTTGCTTTGTATTAAATTATATTTATAATAGAAAATAATTTGAAGACTGTTAGTAGAAAACTTTCAATATTTACGAATAAGGGACAAAGTCGCTTTAGTGACTCATTAGAAACTTAAAGCAACGCCATCTATGTGTGTAACCTATCACCCCGTACTATTTACTAATGCCTATCTAGTTTTGGCGATAAATTTAAGCAATACTCTATTTAGAATTAGATTTTTACAATTTACAATGATTTAGAATACTACGCATTTGACATTGTATTTTCAACGTGGATATTTTATTAGAAATTTATGTGGTAGATAATTTTTAACTATTTTGCACAATTCCTATATTTAACTAATTTCCTAAATCGAAATGAATATTATCCGATTTTATGAATCCACTAAGAATTCAGACTAGATTGTTAGCATTAGTCTAAAACCTTAAAACAAATTCCATTCCATTGGCAAGTTAATATTAAAAATATAAATATGCCGTGCAAATAATGTTATATTTATGGAGAAGAATTATTTGTACCTGAAGTTGCCTAAACTTAATAACTAAAGGAGAATGTTATTTCAAAAATCTTTTGCTGACCCTGTCTCAATTAGCCCTTAAATGTTTACTCTCGGTAAAAGAAACAAAATAAATAGAAATTTTTAGATAACATGAAGTTAAAAAACATAAAGTTTTCTGCTTTTAACCGACTTAAAAAAAACTAAAGGAACCGCGAATTTTTAAAGAAATCAAGGCAAACAATTGTAATTTGAAATGTGTACAAAGAAATGTATACAATCAAATGACAACGAAGTCATAAAATATAAAAATTACGTAAATACTCGAATTTTTGAAATAACCATTTTCAATCTTAGCACAAATAAATAATGTACATCCTACTGATAAAGGGTTTTATCGGCCCATGTACTTAAACGATTAATATAAAACTAAATTCATATTAAATATACGAAATACTGAATTATAGAATTATTAGAATCAGATTGTTAATTGTGGAGGAGACATTTTTTGTGTAATCTGTAGCTTTAATATATAACGACAAATTAGCGCCAAAAGTAAATCCCATTTTGCTGAAAATTTCCATCAATGTGATTTCTTATTTACAAGTCCATGACGATGAAATTTTGAAAAGTCCCCATCTGTGCCAATTTTTTCGGACTTTGACCTTTAATAAACTTGCAACAAACATTACATACTAAGTAACTTGGGTGTTTTGGCTTGTTGGAGTTTTTTACAAGCCCCCCCGAATTCGACTTGATGTCAGTTCGAATTAAACGCCCCCTGTTTTTGCACAGAATGCCTTTGTTAAATTTTATAAGGTATTTAAAACCACATTTAAAGAATCAGAAATAAACGGTGAAATGTGTCACATAAAAACCATTTATGTTTCTCTAGATCTACAGAGAGGATCAAACGCTAGCTCAAATATAATAAAATATTGATTTTACATCATATTGTGACAGCTAAACTTATATTTGCTTTTGTGACATTACATCGACATAAAACACAGTTAACAAACTTAAAGTTCTCAGGTACAGAGACGCAGAAGCCGCAACAGTAAAACAATTGCCAAAGAAACAAATGACAGCACTGAAACGCACTAAATCATATTACGCAATATCGAATGCAAATTGCAACATACTAAATCGTTTTATTAAACCGCACTAAGCACTGATCGTTCACTTAATTTTGAATCTCTTCACTTTGATGGGAACCTTGTTGGTGCAAAGTTTGAGCGCTGCGGCGGCAGTCGGGGCGTCTGCTGACGTCATATCCTTGCCGTCCACAGATGCTAGGAAGTCCCCGCGCTGGAGACGCCCGTCAACTTCCGCTGGTGAACCGGCAAGCTTGAAAGAAATCAAATTAATTGGTATATATATCAAAAATTATTAATTTTATGTCATAATATATTAACTAAAGTTGTATACAATCTGTGAGTAAATACAAATGACTTTATCTTTATCACTCTTGTACGACTTAATTATGTGATTTATATTAATTGAGTTGAAAGTTTGAACAATAAATAATTTTACAACCTCCCTTAACTTTCTCTTAACATATTTACATTGACAAAAGTCATAATAAATGCTTTTCTATTATTATATATATTTATCATAATGCAAATTTTACCTTTCACAATTTTGTTGATAAATAAATAAACTCACCAGTTCACCTAAGTAGACTCCCGTGCCTTGGACAGGTTGTATGCACGCCAGCCCTAGAGCTTTGCCCCCCTTTTTAGTCAATTCTACATCGATCTCATCGTAGACTATGGGCTCTGGCCGGTACACGTTCATTTTTAACTGGAAAATTTATTTATTGTTTCGTTAACAATTTCCTAGTGATTTCTTCCGAAAACCTATCATTTAAATTTCTTAAGTGAACAATTCAATTGTTTAATAAATAAATTATGTATGTTAAATAGAGCAGTGTTGGCCTAGTGGCTTCAGCGTGCGAAAAAAAAAAAAAAAAAAAAAAAAAAAAAAAAAAAAAAAAAAAAAAAAAAAAAAAAAAAAAAAAAAAAAAAAAAAAAAAAAAAAAAAAAAAAAAAAAAAAAAAAAAAAAAAAAAAAAAAAAAAAAAAAAAAAAAAAAAAAAAAAAAAAAAAAAAAAAAAAAAAAAAAAAAAAAAAAAAAAAAAAAAAAAAAAAAAAAAAAAAAAAAAAAAAAAAAAAAAAAAAAAAAAAAAAAAAAAGGAGAAAAAAAAAAAAAAAAAAAAAAAAAAAAAAAAAAAAAAAAAAAAAAAAAAAAAAAAAAAAAAAAAAAAAAAAAAAAAAAAAAAAAAAAAAAAAAAAAAAAAAAAAAAAAAAAAAAAAAAAAAAAAAAAAAAAACCCCCCAAAAAAAAAAAAAAAAAAAAAAAAAAAAACCCCCCAAAAAAAAAAAAAAAAAACCCCCCCCAAAAAAAAAAAAAAAAAAAAAAAAAAACCCCCCCCAACCCCCCCCCCCCCCCCCCCCCCCCCCCCCCCCCCCCCCAAAACAAAACCCCCCCCCCCCCCCCCCAAACACCCCAAAAAAAAACCCCCCCCCAAAAAGGACCCCCCCCCCCCCCCCCCCCCCCCCCCCCCCCCCCCCCCCCCCCCCGGGGGCGCCCCGCCCCCCAAAAAACAAAAAAAAAAAAAAAAAAGCCCCCCCCCCAACCACCCCCAAAAAAAAAAAAACCCCAGGGAAAAAAAAAACAAAAAAAAAAAAAGGGGGAAAAAAAAAAAAAAAAAAAAAAAAAAAAAAAAAAAAAAAAAACCCCAAAACCAAAAAAAAAAAAAAAAAAAAAAAAAAATAAAAAAAAAAAAAAAAAAAAAAAAAAAAACAAACCCCCCCCAACCCCCCCCCCCCCCCCCAAAAAAAAAAAAAAAAAAAAAAAAAAAAAAAAAAAAAAAAAAGGGGGGAAAAAAGAGGAAAAAAAAGAGAAAGAGGAGAAAAAAAAAAAAAAAAAAAAAAAAAAAAAAAAAAAAAAAAAAAAAAAAAAAAAAAAAAAAAAAAAAAAAAAAAAAAAAAAAAAAAAAAAAAAAAAAAAAAAAAAAAAAAAAAAAAAAAAAAAAATAAAAAAAAAATATAAAAAAAAAAAAAAAAAAAAAAAAAAAAAAAAAAAAAAAAAAAAAAAAAAAAAAAAAAAAAAAAAAAAAAAAAAAAAAAAAAAAAAAAAAAAAAAAAAAAAAAAAAAAAAAAAAAAAAAAAAAAAAAAAAAAAAAAAAAAAAAAAAAAAAAAAAAAAAAAAAAAAAAAAAAAAAAAAAAAAAAAAAAAAAAAAAAAAAAAAAAAAAAAAAAAAAAAAAAAAAAAAAAAAAAAAAAAAAAAAAAAAAAAAAAAGAGGAGAAAGGGGGGGGGGGCCCCCCCCCCCCCCCCCCCGCCCCCCCCCCCCCCCCCGCCCCCCCAGGCCCCCCCCCCCCCCCGGGGCCCAAAAAAAAAAAAAAAAAAAAAAAAAAAAAAAAAAAAAAAAAAAAAAAAAAAAAAAAAAAAAAAAAAAAAAAAAAAAAAAAAAAAATATTAAAAAAAAATTTTTTTTTTAAAAAAAATTTTAAAAAAAAAAAATTTTTTTTAAAAAAAAAAAAAAAAAAAAAAAATTTTATAATTAAAAAAAAAAAAAGGGGGGAGGGGGGAAAAAAAAGGGGGAGGGGGGAGGGGTGGGGGGGGGGGGGGCGGGGGGGGGGGGGGGGGGGGGGGGGGGGGGGGGGGGGGGGGGGGGGGGGGGGGGGAGGGGGAAAGAAAAGCCCCAAACCCCCCCCCCCCCCCGGGGAGCCGGGCGGGGGGGCACCCCCCCCCCCCACCAAAACCAAAACAAAACCCCCCCCCTTTCCCCTCTTTACCTTCTCCCCTTGGTCTTTTTTCCTTGTTTTTAAATAGGGAAAAAATTTTGGGGAAAAATTTTTTTTTTTTTTTTTTTTTTTTTTTTTTTTTTTTTTTTTAAAAAATATTGTTAATTTCCTTTTAAAAATTTTTTTTTTTCCGGGGGGGGGGGAAGGGAAAGGGGGGGGAGGAAAAAAAAAGGGGGGGGGGGGGGGGAAGATTTTGTCGCGCGGGGGCCCCCCCCGCGGGGGGGGGGGGGGGGGGGGCGGGGGGGGGGGGGGGGGGGGGGGGGGGCGTCGGGGGGGGTTTTTGGGGGGGGGGGCCCCGGGGGGGGGGCCGGCCCCCCCGGGGGGCGCGGTTTCCCCGGGGGCCCCCAAATGGGGGGTTTTTTTTTTGGGGGGAAAAAAAATTTTAAAAAAAAAAAATTGGAAAAAAATTTTTTAATAAAAAAAAAAAAAAAAAAAAATTTTTTTGGGAAGTTAGGGGGGGGGGGGTTGGGGGGGGGAAAAAAAGGATAGGAATTGTTTGGGGGGGGGGGGGGAATTTATTGGGAAGAAGAAAAAAAGAATTAATTTGGGGGGGAATTTTGGTTGGAAGGGTTTGGTTTACTATCAACCCCCGCGGGGGAGTTTTTTTTTCCCCCCCCGGGGGGGGATGTTTCGGCGGGGGGGCGGGCTTTACGGGCACCCCCCGGGGGGAAAAGAAAAGGGGGAAAAGGAAACGAGAAAAGAAGAGTGGGGAAGCTTTATTTTTTTCTGGTTTTGCCGGGGGTTTTTGGGGTTTGGGTTGGGGAGATTTTATTTGGGGGAAGAAGATACACTTAGAGGGGGAAACAAAAACCCAAAAATCTAATTCCTTTGGGCCCTTCCCTTTCCGGGTCCCAAATCCCCCCCCCACCCCCCCCCGGGCTTGGGGGGGCAAGATGGGGGCTGGAAGGGAAACGGGGGGTTCCCCTTCCCCCCTTTTTCCCCCCTTCCCCGCCCCCTCCGCGTTTCCCCCGAAAAGTAAAGTGGAAAGGGAAAAACGCTAATTTTTTACTTTTGCAACACTTGGAAAATTTGAAAAATTTTTTGGGGGTTTTTGGAAAAAGAAGGGAAAAAAGAAAAAAACCAAAAAAAACAAAAAAAATTTCCACCATTTATACAGTTTTTACAAAAATTTTAAAAAATAAAAAAAAAAAAAAAAAAAAAAAAAAAAATAAAAAAAAAAAATTTTAAAAAAAAAAATTTTTTTAAAAATTTTTTAATTATTTAAAAAAATTTTTTTTTTTCCAAAATTTTAAAAAAAAAAAATTAAAAAAAAAAGAAAAGGGGGGAAGGGGGGGGGGGGGGGAAAAGTAAATTTTTTTTCCCCTTCTTTTTTCCCCCCCCCCCCCCCCCGCGGTTTCCTCCTTTTTCCCCCCTCTTTTCCCCCCCCTCCCTCTTTTTTTTTTTTTTTTTTTTTTCCTTTCATTTTAAAAAAAAAAAAAAAACGTTAAGGTTTTGGTTAGAAAAAAAAAAAAAAAAAAACCTTTTTATTCCTTCCTCCGAAGTTTTTCCCACCCGCCCCCCCGGGGGAAGGAAAAGGAAAGAAAGGGGGAAAAAAAAAAAAATAAAAAAAAAAAAAAAAAAAAAAAAAAAAAAAAAAAAAAAAAAAAAAAAAAAAAAAAAAAATTTCTTTTTTTTTATACATTAAAAAAAACAATTTAATTTTTAAATTTTTCGCCTTTCCCACCCACCCCCCTCCCTCCAACGAAGGGCAACAAAAAATTTTTAGGGTGGGTGTTTTTAATTTTCGCCTCTCATCCCTGAGGTCGTAGGTTCGATCCCCGGCTGTGCACTTTATTTCTATGTGCGCATTTAACATTTGCTCGAACGGTGAAGGAAAACATCGTGAGGAAACCGACATGTCTTAGACTCAAAAAGTCGACGGCGTGTGTCAGGCACTGGAGGCTGATCACCTACTTGCCTATTAGATTTAAAAACGATCATGAAACAGATTCAGAAATCTGAGGCCAAGACCTAGAGGTTGTAGCGCCACTGATTTATTTTTTTATTTTTTATGTATGTTAAATAGGGGTACATAAGAATTTAAGGTAGGTTAAGGTGGGGCATGGCACAAAAACAGGTTGGGAATCACTGCTCTAAGATTAAAAATTATTGTTTTTATTTTGTTTTAACATACATTTTTGAAAACATTTATTTGGTCAAGATCGTGTAATTAAAACGCTGTATATAATATGGAAACAACCGAAGGGATAGTAGTAAGGAATAGTATCGCCATTATCTTAATAAGAATATAATTGACGGATTGATTCTTTGCTAACCTAAGGTAGCTTAAAGATTTAAGTTGGCGTCTGGTAGATAGTACCGATGACGCCAGAGCTGGTGCTTTCCTCGCTCAACGAATAAGTATCGCAATACAGCGAGGAAATGCCGCCAGCGTTAAAGGTACACTGCCACAAGGACCAAACTTTTTAAATTTGTATTAATTTTCTTTTTATTATTTTTATTACTATGTACGTTTAGAAAATTGTAAATATTGTATATTTGATTGTTATGTTTATATTTAGTTTTAGTTTGAAAAGTGAATTTGAATTGAAATCCTTAGAGACTTCCTTAATGACGTGATGAAATTTGTCCTGCTCCCTAAGTTAGAACACAGACAGGACATGACATTTAGTTTCCGAGAAATTTGTAGATAAACTTACTATAACTTTATACTCCAGAATTATCCAATTCCAACAATATCATATACACAACGATCAAACTGATAATAATAACTCAACACCTGCATACCTTGGGTGCCTTCTGTTTGATAGAAACGCAAATCCTCTCGTGAGTCATCTCTTTGGTGATGGTGATCCCATTGCAGTCCTTGATCTGGTCTCCGGGTCGCAGTCTCCCATCTTTAGCGATGCACCCGTTCTTATAAATGTCTAGTACTACAGCCGCTGCACCCTGTCATTTCGGCGCAACAAGAAATAATTTGTTTACAATGTATGCCACAAATTTTGTATGTAAAAATAACACGGTTCAATTGGCCGCTTTTTCGCTAACCAGCATTGCCAGGAATAAATAAATGTGAAAAGTGGGACTTTCTTATGATATATAAGGACGTAAAATAATAATAAAGATACTTTAATTTTATACTGTTAAAAAAATTATACATCACATTAAGTTTGTTATTATACTCTTAATGTGCGGTAAAAATAAAAAAATCAGTAGCGCTACAACCTCTTTAGGTCTAGATCTCAGATTTATGTATCAGTTAGGCGAGTTGGTGGTCAACCTGATGTGCCTGACACACGCCGTCGACTTTTTGGGACATGTCGGTTTCCTCGCGATGTTTTACTTTACCGTCCAAGCGAATATTCAATGCAAAAAAGAGCAAAAAAGAAAGAAAGTCCATTGGTGCACAGCCGGGGATCGAACCTTCGATCTCAGGGATGAGAGTCGCTCGCTGAAGCCACTAGGCCAGATATAAGTTAGATTTTACAATAATTCTTATTAAATATCATACTTAAACTTAAAGTTATCATATTTTTTTTTTAATAGGCCTATTAGGTTTAAAAATGATCATGAAACAGATTCAGAAATCTGAGACCAAGACCTAAAGAGGTTGTAGCGCTACTGATTTATTTTTATTTATTTTAAGGAAGGATGGTCTTTTCATAACGTCTTCATTTGTTTTCTTTAATTGACACTTAAGTAATTATAAAATAATAATTTCCCTGATTATGAGTTCATATATGAATTGGTTACTTTTAATTAAACTAATAGAGTATTTCTTAGTGCTAATTTGAATAAATAATTGATTAAATTTTTAAGTGTCGATAGTAATTCTCTACGTCGCAGCGTTTTCACATATAATGTTTCAGTTCGAACCCAAATATTCTAAGTTCGATTGCCGTCAAAATAATATTTACGGGTTGGTAGTAATGCCCTGTCTCGAAATATCAAGAAAGTAGACGCGGAAAGGTGACTTATAGCGTTTTATATTTAAATTTTATTAATATACTGCTGGAATTTTAATACTTTGGAAATAAATATAGCACTTTGTGAAATCGGTCTTAGTTTTTGAGTTTATTCGTTTCAAACATACAAAAATAACATCCTCTTTTCATCATTAGTTTAGATGAATACATACGTTAAGCAAAGTGTCGCTGCCTCCAAGTAGCAATATTCCTAACACTTCGTTGTTGGAGTTGATTTCTATCACAGTGTCTTGATTGGCTCTTAGCTGAGCTGTTGCAGGGTCAGCGGGTGGCTCAGCTGAAAATGTATGGAGAAATGAAATGTTAAAAGTTTTGATAAGTAGGTATAAATTATAAAACATTTATTTTTTACAAATTTTAGTATATATTGTAAATATATTCGTTTAAACTATTTTATAAATGTGTATAGAATTAATTTATTAATTATATTAGTCGTAGCAAATGGAAAACGATATTAAACCATTGGCTTGGTACACTCAACTGCAACAAAACAGAAGCATTACTTAATACTCTATTATAAATTTTTCCTTCGTCCATCTTTTCCATGCACACATTCACTTAGGTTTATTCGTCACTCACACACACAGTCGTCATCATATATTTATTATTTTTCACTACCATCATTTTAAAACTAATCGTGTTATTTATTTTGTTAAAACGTGTTAATTAAAGAGCGAAGCTTCCCTGTCACAGGTTTTTGACTTACTATGGAGGCCTCAATCTGAACTGTGTAATAACTAAATAATTAAAAAAAAAACACAATTTGTTTCTGTCGTTCGGTAGTCCTTAAAACTTTGTCATTAGTATATATAAAAAAATTCAAATATGCAAAGAATCATCTCAGAGAAAAATTAAAAATTGAGATAGAAAAATATTTACGTTTGGCCGGCGAAGGTGCTGGCTTCGGAGCCTGACCGTCTTGGTTCGGCGTTTGACTCCCGCTGACACCTGGAATAATTTTAATATCATATTTAGCTTAAATTGCATTAATACGACATAGACTCAAATTAAGAGCCGGGGATCGAACCTACAACCTCAGGTATGAGAATCGCGCGCTGAAGCCACTAGGCCAACACTGCACTATTAAAAATAATTAATTACCGGAAGTTCCAGACTCATCAGGATCCTTCATATTGGGACTGCATACTGTCAAAATGACCACACCTTCTGTCTGCTTCAGCTTTGCAGCGGCCTGAAAATATTATGGAATAAAATAAATTCTGATTTAAAAATAAATGACAATGGCCCGGCATCTCACCCGCAGAAACTATTTCATTTAACGCAGAGTACATATGAGATTGTAAACTGATTTAAATTGTTAATATCTTTCAGTCAGAGAAAGAAGAAAAACAGAGACTATAAAGGCATGATTTGTAATTTTTCGCGTTTATTTTAATATTACATTTTAAAATTATTTGCGCTGTTGTCTTATAATTCTGACATTCAAGCGGTACGGATAGAAAAAAATACCTCTCACTCTCCTTTGTAGACATTTACGGCTACACAAAATAATATCTTGAAATGAAACGTAAAATTTTTAAGAAATTTATATATAAATATATCAGCAAAAATAATTTAAAATATTATATATTATTCTAAAATTACTTACAGCATCATAACTGCAGGTTAGAAGAGACTCCCTGTTAACAGCGAGGATCATGTCACCTATATTCATACCAGCCTGAAAAAAGTATTGTTACTTTAAAAAAATAATCAAGTTCAGCTCTTAGTCAATTTAGTTAGATTTAGTGTGTTGTAAGTCAACGGATCGGTCGAACAATTGTAATAATACTTGCTCATAGACTAATTATGAATTCGAACAAAAAAATAATTACGTAATATAAATTTTATAATAATACAATGGCGTTACAACTGCGGTATAGCAGTCTTGACCGCAGATTGTCGATTCTTCGTTAATTTAATTTTTTCAGAAACAAGTAGGTAATAAGCATTCTGTGCCTGACACACATCGTGGATTTTTTGGCCTAATATGGGTTCCTCACGAAGTTAGCTGTCACCGTATTAGTACATGTTTTATGCGCACATAGAAACGTCGACGTCAGAGTTGAGAGTTGCCCACTTAAGACACAAGGCTGCTGCTCTTATAAGAAAAATTATATCTTACTCAAAATTTATCAGTTTAACGACCGTACGACGTACGTAACAGTTCAAAAACAGCTAAATATTGGATCTTTACTGATTAAAATCTCGATTACACTTTCAGTTATCCATCTTATAATAGAATTTCATTCTTTATCAAAACTAGTCTTGTAAAGTTTGAGAAATGTGGTTTGTTTTGATTTGATTTTATTTTACTTACTTGTTCTGCTGCGCTTCCCTCTTGCAGATCGGAAATGAATATACCGCGGCCTGCCTCTGTGTGTCTGCCTTCTATGATCATGATGCCCAATCCCGATGGACCCTGGAAATTTAAGACACTTTATTGAAGTGAAAACTTCTTTAGCGGCATTGTACACTTTTTTGGAATGGGTAAAAAAAATTAAACTCGCGTCAGGACACGTGACCTGATCGAAAATTCGTAAGACGGATGGATAGTAGACAGCTGGCGCGGCGTATTTAATGTAATATAAATTGTCATGTTTGTGTACGATATCGCAATAAATAAATATTGTATTTTACCACATTAATGATTAGTAGTTTGTATTTTTATACTGATAATTAAAGCAATTCGTGCAAAATTATTCCCTTACCATTCCAAAATATCAAAAATGCACAACGTTAATATTCAAGTTTTCACTACTGCCGGCACTCCCGGAGTGCAACCCGTCGTTTTTATTTATTTGAGACATTGCAATAATCAGTAAATAACTAAATAAGAAGGATCGCAACCGCCGGCCTTATCGCTTTGGAAGGCAACCATTGTAAGAAAAAAAATTGTAGTAGCAGTTTAGCGTATAAGGTTTTAAATAGTTTCTTTGGTATGATTTCTATATCAGAATAATTATAAAATTAGTTAATAAAAGACACATTTTTGTATTGTTTAGTAAGTTTGTTTTTTTAGTAGGCGATTTGGTTTTTTTTTTTATTTTAAACCTTATTTATATGAAGTGACATGAAAATATACATTACCTTCTTTATAGTGATGTCCCGGACACCTTTGTAGTTTGCGAACCGGTCGTCCGGCTGAAAAAGTAAGTTTATAATAAACAAAATATTTGTACAATTGATGACGTGAAAATAAATGAATTGTACAGACTCTACTGAGATATATTTTACATCACCCGGATGCTGGTAGTTGAATAGTATGATTTACTTAGTAAAATATGGGCACAAACTTAAAAAAATAAATAAAGTAAAATTACGCTTTTTAATTTAATCCGACTCTTAATAGTGAAACGAGGCTGATTTAGTTTTTTTGTTACTGAATAAAAAGCTTAGGCCCAGGCGCTACCCTCGTGGTGTAAAAAAGCCCTAGTCGAAGGCTCCTTCTTAATGGTTTCTGCAGTCATTAAATCGTCTCGTGCACGTGTTTATACAGCTTATCATCAGCAAATATTTAAGATAATATCTCACGAGGTATAGTATCTATGTATATGCTGTATACTCATACACATAGCTGAGGTTTAAATTACGTTTATATCACAAGTCTGAATATCCAATAATAAAGTAGTCAAAGACATTTAATTTTTGCAGCGTCCAAGACAAGATTCACTTGAGATATATTTTTGAATAGTCTAAAACACAACTAAGAATACGTGGAACTCAGACAGAGAGATTCCTATCTTTGATTTATGCGTGTACGAGTTTCCCAAGGGGAAATAATGTTTTGCCAGGAATAGAACAGGTTGCCAACTCAAACAACCTCCAAGTTACACAAAGCTCAGCATTACGGTTAAGGTATAATAAATATATAAATGTATGATGGATAATTTTACTATAAATATTTATAAATTAGTAAAAAAATAAACAACGGAAGTACTCATGACTATAAAAATAAATAATTTTACGACTTAATAATGATCTTTTAAAGCCAAGAAATCATTTATGACCGGAATTTAAATAACACGGTCTAATAAATAAAATCCGGCTTTATCTAACATAAAATAATTTTTAAATTTTGGTACAAAAATAATCGTTTATTATTTGTTATAAACATCCAAAATAATAGATACATTTAAGTCAAAAATACAAAATATCGGCTAATTTAATATTAAGTATATTCCAAGCATTTATCATAGACTTCTCTACCTTCTCTATGTCAGATATAGATTCATTTGCAAATGCCCCAGTATTGAAGTGTGCAGTCTGCAAATTGATGAATGCAGTTACTAGTGCTACGGCTAGCTTTCTCTATTTGCAACCCAAAACAATTATTTCGTCAGGAAGAATACGAAGATTTTACATAAACAAGCAAGAGTTCCCGCAATGAAATAGTTATGCATTTCTTGTAAATTAATTCAATCGCAGTTAGAATAATGAAGCAGTGTAATCTGCATAAAAGCATCGCAACTGATTAACATCTCACTTTGATGCTTTTGAAACAACTTGTATTTTCAAACGAATACCTTTTTAACGCTGTTATATTTTTGCCTAGACTTATGAAAACTTGTGAAAAGTTTATAAATATACATTACAATCGATTTGGCTTCAAGGTTCGTAACAAATCGCTCCAGTACCACGAGTTCGACAAAGTACTAAAGAACGTCTGTATAAAATATTTGTATAAGACCATATCCTTGGTGGTATCGTAAAACAAAGGTTTTTCTTACAAATATTTGGTTCAGACATATCAAATCAAAATTTATTTATACATATTTGTACATATATGAACGACTATATTTAAAAAAATGGAATCACATCTAGGGCTTAGAGCGGGCACGAAGAACGGGCAGGATACTCTTTTTAATCGTTATTTTTAATATTAAAATATTCTAAATAAATTACGCTATCGTTTAATACTTTGCTAAGCTATGGTGGCAAGTTCATTATCAAGTTTTTCTACGGAAGTTAAATTGTTAGCAACGAGTGCCAACGCGGTTAAAATAGAATGATTGATTTACATAATAGACTATGTAATATGTATGTATTAACCTAATATTGTTACATACCCATGAATATACCACGAGTTTGACAAAATATATCATTAGTTACCACCACGGGCACTTTAAGACTTTTCATATAAACATTTGAGGTCAAGTCAAGTCATATCATTCATTCCAATTAGACCATCTAAAATGGCACTTTTGAACGTTAATTAGAATATACAGATGATTCTAGTTGCCCCTTCCAAAGGTAGAAGAAAGGCGAAGAATGGGCAAGAAACTCCACACTTACAATACACAGGCATTGTTGGAGTTTAAAACGTCATCAAACTTGGGTTTACTGAAATGTTATCATAGAAAAGCTACTGAAGGCAAAAACACGGACTTTTAATATGAACCATGAAATTAATATGCAATTGAAATATTAATTTTTAAAATTTAATCAACGTAAAAAAACTTTTAGATTTCTTAATTACATAGAATCTATTAATAGTTGTTAATCAATTTTATTTTATATTTAAGAATTTTGTAAATTAAACAATCATATAATGTTGATTTCTTACCTTTTTCTTTTTCAAAGAAAATGTGCGTTTCCATATTGCCCTAAACAACGCGACTGGTTTATAATAATGTTCTGGATCCAAGCGTTCGTTCATTACAGTCATTTTACACTTCACTAAACATCACTCTACGTTCTCCACTTCACTTTAAATTGTTTATCCATTTGTCTATTTTTCAAACATTAACTAAAGATTAAAAAACACTATAGCTGTTGTAATAGTGATAATTTTAAACAATATTTTTTATGATTACTATAGGTTTAGGTTTAGTTGCTCTTCACTTAAGTACCACACACCACAAATAACTAACTTATATTTCGTCCTTAAGATTCAAAGTTAAAAGTTACATGAAAGAGCAAGGGCGAAGGTAAAACGGAAAGAGGCAAACGATAATTTGACAAATTTAGATTTATAGAAAATTGCTGAAGAGGGCCGCATTTATCAATATGTTACTATATCTAGCTACACAACTACTAAGTATACATCTTAACAGTCTCTTATCTCACAGGGAAATATCTCTTATGAGTATTGGTAATTAATAATTTGGCCATTGGTAAATTACCTAACAGTTATAATAATAGTTTACTAATTCATCAAATAATGAAGAAATGATTCTAGGCGTGAGATAACATTTTTAAAATTTTAAACACGACCTATCCATACTATTCCAAATTTGAAAATCTATTCTTACCGAAGTCGTTCACTGCAACGCATTATATGATACTTTAAAAAAAAGAACGCTCTATTGTACCTACTTTAATATAAACAGTGCCTGTATGACGTATTACTAGCGGTGGTAAAAGCCATTGATAAATCTGTTTACACAACTCGAGTTACTAAGTGCAATATAAAAGGTGCTCTGATAGCCCTACTTAAAGATAATTTACTACATAGAACATTTTATGATTATATTTATCCAAGTTTTTAATTGTGGATTTTAAACACATATTATGTTACTGATATAAGCAGTTTAAGGATTTTAAGGATACTTCGAGAGTAGGACAGTTTAAGGATACTGATATAAGCATAAAAGAAAATTTGGAATTTTACAAAATAATAGGAACTTAAACCATACTAAAAACCACATTTAGTAAAATAAAGCTGTAGTCGATCGATGTTAGTATATTTATAATAAAGAGGAAAGAGTTTTATTTTTGTATGTTAAACGAAAATCTCAAAAACTACTGGTCCGATTACAAGAATTCATTTCACCATTAGAATGCTACAGTATCCCATATATATGAAAGTATATATGAAAACAAGGCGTGTGATGCCAGGGCTGATCACTAGTTATTTATAAAAGTTGTTTGACTGAATTCAAAGTAATGACCTCGTTAATATAATAACAATTTAGTAAATTAATAAATCACTTAATGAGCGAAATGAGTTGCGGTTATAGTTTATAAGATCTTACATAATATTTTTTTAAGTTACCAATTAGTTAAAGTTTAAATTTGCGTTTTTATTTTTGCTGTTTGTCTATATATTTGTTCCTTACTTTTATGTGGTTTTCCTTGCTTGTTTGTAATTTCTATGTTCTAATATAACTGATGTGTGTAATTTGTTACGTCATATTTTCTGGTATATTTAGAGCATTCATGTTGTTTTAGAACTTATACATAAAATAATTGTGTATAATATAATATTTAAATTAAATTCATTTAAATGAACATCACGTTAGGTAAGGAAAATATAGGCAATACGTCACGTAATTTGATTTAGATCTTTGTTTTAAAAAACTATGCATGTGCCCCAAACCCCAAACAGTCATACACGTGCGATAGTCCTGGATGGACTCCAGAAATACTATTAAAAAAACAGTCATATCCGCAGTTACTATATTATCCATTCATTACGATACACTCTGTAAATATTATATTGATTAGAGAAAAAGGATTTCGGTATAATGTGTAACATCTTAATATTGTGAGTAGAATTTATGGCGTTAAGTCTTGTGGAACTGGCTTTTACTTAAAGGATCTAAAAAATTGTGATGCATATGTATTTATAACGAATAATCAAATTTTATAATATTTAAAACTGTGTATGGTTTTAAAAAACTATATACCCGACGTTGTTAGATTTAGAAAAAACTAAAATAAGTATCATGTACGCTTTCTATAATTATTTGTATAATTCATAGAAAATGCGGTAATAGTTGCCTAAAGATTTCATTATAATTTCTTTTGAATTATATTACTCTGGTTGATATAAAACAGTATTTTTCACAACAAAGCTTCAGATTATATGTATTTTTTAATAAAAAAAATAAAGATCTAATTAATTTGAAAAACAAACACCGAACTATATTTTATTGTTTCTAACTTGTATTGAAATCAATAATATACTAATTAAATAGAGTTTAAATTCTAATTCTAATTAATGACCAATTATAACGTGTTTGCGAATTAAGATACTCTTCTGTATAACCTTAAGAACTTGCTAATGAACGCTAAATTAAAGATACAATTATTTTAAATGAGTCATATTATATGATCGCATCTAACTTCGAATTAATTACATTTCTTATTAAAACATTCAAAGACTACGTGAAAATTTTATTAAGAGTCTTTTGAATTCTCGACATATTTCATTTCTAATTAAATTTAATTATTTGATACTAATGAGTCCCTTAAAATTATAATTACAAGTATAATTTGAACTTGAATTGGGGACTTGCGAAATAGTTTATACATTTATACATATATATAGACTCCGCCATTGTAACATCGTTACAATTCAAATTTAAAAATAAATTTTAGATATGAGTGAATCTCATATTCATGTATTTATTATCAATTATCAGACGTTTTTGACAAAGACAACTCTTCAATATTCTTAAAATTAAAAAAAAATATTTCAGTGGAATTTTATCTTACTATTACTTCCTTTAATTTAAAATTATAAATATATCTTCATTCAGTTGCTTTCTAGTTTGATCTAAATATATCAAATTTATATGTGATACTAATTAACAGAAAATATAATAATGAATAAAATATAGTGAATATATTTAAGATTTGTCTGATGAATTAATAAGTAAAACCATGAATAATTCAGACTCTATCTTAATTCAATTCAGCTGAAGGCACCACCGTGTCATTAATATAATGCATTTAATTTTATTTGGGAAAACCGTGGTAATTTATTTGCTAAGACTTATAACTTATCTACATAATTTACTGGTTTAAGTACAGAAACATAAGTCAAGACAATTATTTCCTTGAAACTATTTTCCACACTTAACGTAGGAAAAACTGTGAAAATACCGCGCTAAATTGTAATTGAAATGAAATGTCACTTTAAATTTTCTCTCTTAAACCAAATGGTTACTATTTTGTTAAATATTAAATTCTTTGTCTCGACGTTTATTTAATGTAACGGTAAATTAAAATAAAAATAGATTTTTCAATGGCACTCTAATGGCACTTCGTGGCCATATTTGGAAACTTAGGCATGGTCATCGTATAGATTCATGTAGACTTTGTATGGATGCGTTTGGGGATTACCTATCATGGTCGCATTGGGGTACCGGCATACATATACTTAGATAGTTTGATTGTTAGGATATACCTTTTCACGTTGTATGTAATTCGTCTAGATAAGGAAATTCATGTAAAGCATGGTTGGTTTTTTAACCAGAACATCAGTTTTTTTTTGTAATTTAAAGAAATTTAATAAAAATATATTTATAAAGCCTGTACTTCAGTTTAATAAAGTTAAAAATATTATTTCCGGTTTACCTTTTCAATACTGAATCGCTATTGAATGGTTTATAAATAAACAACAATAGGTTTATTTTTAAAAACCCCGAAGGATAAAGTTGATTCAATGTTACTTTTAGTCGATAGTCTAAACTATAGACAAGACTTGTTTTTATAAAATTTTTTCAAGTTCTTAATGATGCTGATTATGATTACATGAAACCTATTGGGCCTATGAAATAATTATTGGCCCAAAAAGTATAGATTATTCATATAGATAATTAAAACACAAAATATATTTTGGTAGAATGCCGCTAATAACACTGAATGCATTATTGTATAATCATTATACATACAAGATGAAATTTAAACATTATTGAATTGGCAATCTTTATACCAACGAATATCACATTACCGATGTTACATTACATCAGGCTTTAAAGTGACAACAAATCACTAATAATCACTTTATACACTTTGCACTAAACGTATACACACATAGCAGAGCGTCTCATTACTAAGTACCTACATATATATTTGTACGACATTGCTAAAAGTAAGATAACATAAAGATTTAACTTAATTTATTACATAAATCAATTTGAATAAACATTCAATTACCAACACTATACTATTACGATAAAGTGTAAATTCGCAAAAACGCAAAATATCACATACAACGCTTTTCACACACGCGCTAAGATAAACACTAAAAGTGTGAGTGTCGTTGTAAATTAAGTTTTATCACATCTGCATAAAGTTTAAATTAAATCCTTCTGTAGCGTAGGAAAATTGTATGGAAATCAGCAGCGTTTTAATAAATGTGACCGATAGAGAAGGAAGATAACTTTTAATATAGAAAAGAGCGAGAGGTTGACAAGGTCAGCGTATTACTATGAGATCCTATGGTATAAACAGATAATCTTAATTCAGCTAATGTCGAAAAGGATGGATTAATTATAACCAATTTCTAAATAATACAAATTGGTTTTACTAGAAAGTTATTTATATCAATTTTATATGTTAATGAGTTAATTTAAACTCTTTGTTATAGCTTTGTAGAAAATATATTGTTTTTATTAATTTTAAGTGGATCGAAGTTTTATGTTGTATCTATTACGGCGTTAGATGTATGATAGCGATAGTCCAAAACAAAGACACCCACGCGGCCGACGCGGGTACACACACACACTTTTGTTTTTTGTATTAATATTTTTCGTGGTATTAGATCTTTATCAGCCATTGCTCAGTGCCTATAAATACATACATAGAAGATTTAAAGTCATAATAATACATTTTAATGCTTTCAATTAATTTTGAATATTATATTTATAATATTAAATCTTTTGTGGCCTACCGAATATGTAGAGCAAAAGTTAAAGCTAAGGTATTTGCTCTGCATCTTCTAGCGCATTTACCATGGAGAGTGTTGTTCGGAATAATACCTGCAGCTGAGTTTCATAATCGGACGCCAAGGTAAAATACAATATACAATTCGTATCATCTCGACGTCCATCGTGCCACAACTGAGCGGTGCTTAAGGAAGTTTTTGCCGCGCACCACCGCTATGTGGAACTAGCTGCCCACTAAAGTATTTCCGAACCAATTCGACTAAGGGTCCTTCAAGAAAAGAGCGTACCAATTCTTGAAAGGCCGGCAACGCACTTGCGAGCCTTCTGGCATTGTGAGTGTCCATGGGCGGCGGTATCACTTAACATCAGGTGAGCCTCCTATAACATAAAAAAAAAAATATGTGGAACTAGCTGCCCACTGAAGTATTTCCGAACCAACTTGACTTAGGGTCAAGAAAAGAACGTACCAACTCTTAAAAGACCGGCCACACACGCACTTACGACGACTTCTGGCAATGTGAGTGTCCATGGCCACTTAACATCAGATGAGCCTCCTGTCCTTTCGCCCCATGTTATATAAAAAAAATATTTCATTCCTAGTGATGTCTGATGATAAGTGATAAGAGACAATAATTGGGAAGTAAAAAGCATCGCAATTTAAGAGGCTTAAAACGTTTCCTCGGTTGGAAAATACTCCATTTTAAGGCTGATTATTATAAGATCCGGACAGCCGAGCTCATACAATTTGCGAAAAGACAGACTTATTGCGTCTCATCAGAGAAGTGACTAAATATATAATTTGGGTTTATAACGCCTTTACGAGACCGTAAACGAAATGGCGATCTTCAAGGACTTTTTATCCAAAATATTTAACATAAATTATACTAAACTTGATGTCCTAGTATATTTTATTTGTCCACTTAGGTCTTTTAATTTCCTACAAATAATAAAAAAAACTTTTAAATTATTGTATTATTTGGATCTACGAGCTTATTATTTTTTATTATACTAATATTTGTCATATAAATAGGTATTTTCGTTGACAGGAATATGATGAATGTGTGTTAAGTATTTGAGCAATTTGATGACATTGCAGAAACCATATATATTAATATCCTTGAAAAAGCTTTACGAGATTTATAAGGCGTTTTAGAAATATTTATTATAATTATTTCAAAAGAATCTAGTAACAAATATGCATGATAGGTAGCACCAGATGTTATGCCGGATTGCAACTAAGAATATATGTAAAATATCCCATACTACAACTAAAACTGAGTCACAGTCGCCTATGAATTACGATATAAATTGTCTTCTCACAATAATCATATTGGTTTCAACTAAGATAAAAAACTTACCTCTTCTTCGAGTGCTGTAGGGAACTGCGTAAGTGGTTTTACAGCTACATCTTCTAAAGCAGCTTTGCGTCTATAAGAAATTTCATATTAATAGATATTTTTTTGCGTTTTCATCAGAATTAATTCAAACTCATATACATTTTCTTGTATATAGTTGAAAAATGCTTTGGACTTTTGGATTTGGAAAATTTTAATCTAATATATAAAATTCTCGTGTCGCGGTGTTTGTGGCTAAACTCCTCCGAAACCGCTCTACCGATTCTCATGAAATTTTGTGTACATATTAGGTATGTCTGAGAATCGGACAACATCTATTTTTCATCCCCCTAAATGTTAAGGGTATATATATTTTATTTTTAGATATTTTTTTCTTTCTTAAAAAATACATACAACCGCTTACTTTCACCCCTCTACGATCAACCCCTATTTTTATATTATAAACGACGTTTGCCCGGTTAGCTAGTAACATATAAAAGCTATACAGCTAAACTTGATTTTCTACACTATCAATAAATTAATTTTTAAATGCTTAACGTCTTGAACGATTGTAAAAAAAACAGCTCTCGTATCGAATACTTCATAACTTCCTATAGCAATCTCGAGTTCAACTTGCTTTTTGGTTCGCTCGATCAACGAATATTATGTATTTGGAAAATACGTATAAAATGGTTACGTTATTAGAATTTAATTAACGGCTTGGCTTTTTCTCTCATAATCTATGCTGACGAGTCAGTATAATTAAAAACTAAAAGTATAAATTATTTTATAGTATTAATTTAACTTTAAAACATCGTACATTTGTACTATGAATTTTGCGAACATTTTAATAATAAATCTAAAATGTACTCAACAATCTGAATTGCGAGGTAAGCCATTATTTTCTTCCAGCGCGAGCGATATCTTTTCAAACCAGAAATGCAATCTTTCTATAAGCACCGCTCGGGATCTTTGTATTCAACGTTCGAATACCCTCTCATTACAAGATTATCGGAACTTATAGGATTTAGACTAGAGTTGTTTGGAAATATTTTATACAGTATTTTGAATTAGTATCGATTGCGAGGAACTAATAAAAAAACACGTGTGTGTACTTATGTACACGCGTTAGAAGTTAAACTTCTTTGGCGTCAAAAATCTTTTTGAAAATTTTTTTTTTATCTTGCGCCTTATTCTACGTCTGTAGGAAAAACGACACTAACAATAGAAAAAAGGTATTTAATACATTGAGAGTTTTACTATAGCGCATTATCTGGTTAAATATTACAAAAAAAATATTTCTAAATAATTAAAGAAATGGACATTTTTTATTTTAAAATGTTGACTATCCTAACTTCAGGGTGTCGATTTTTTGTGACGGTTTGTGCGCGCATCGTAAAAATTTACTCTCATCATTTTTCACTAACGCGCCAAAAGAAGTATAACTTCAAAAATAGTGGCACTAAACCACAAATTAGCTACAGTAGATCTACTAAATAGCTTAAATCACTTGCAGACATTAATAAAAAATTGTGGGTTCGAAAGAAACAAACGGTGTAGCTAAAATATCATAGGAACGCAGGCAGAAAGGTCTCTGCTAGACATGAATGTATTAACTTCTAGATAACTTTATCTATATTCAATAAGACACCCATGTATTATTTATGATAATGTTTAGTTTTAGCACCACCACATTTTCTAGGAATTTTGTAGTTCCTCAAAAGTGACATATTCCTGCTTTCTTTCATAGCTCATAATTGGATTTTATAAGCCAATTTCAATACAATAAAAGCTTGCTCAAACCTTTATTTTACAATTCAAGATTATTGTGTGTTTTTTATGTATATCTACTTAATATATCCTTTTTTTAAATTCCTAACTGTTTTGTGGAATATAAAAATGATCTTAACGCAATTAATGATACATTTCACAAGACTATATTATATGTGATAATTACCTCAAGAGGATGAATTTGTAAACAGGTCCAAGAAGTCCCTTTATAATAGCCGAAGCGTTGAGGTGACATCTTCCGTGTAGAACTAGGCCGTTTACCTGGAGAAAAAATTAATTAATTTTTGAAAAAAATAATATATGTAGTAAAGAATAATAGTGACTTCCAGCCATTTTATAAAAGTTGGACTAAGATAACAATATTATTTCCATATAGTCAAGTCCACCATTTATAATAAGGTCTTGTATATAAAAGATTCTCTTTGATAGTCAAGTCAAGTCAAAATCTAAAATCTAACATATTTATTCATCTAGGTAACACAATGTAAACTTATGAACGTCAAAAAAATTACACTATTTATTATCAGAACAAACCACAGTCGATTCAAAATATTTAGCTGATAGTTATATGGTTTGTCTATGTTTTTACTAGAAATACTAAGAACATTTATCATAGACTAATAAATGAAATCACGGATAGTGTTACATATTATACATTTTCATCAATGAATAATGTTTCAATCAAATTGCTTCAACAAGAATAGTACCGGCTTCCGAGCCAATTTTGGATAAGGTTCTTAACTTTACTCTGAGGGATATGTTGTAGGTTAATAGCGATTTAAAATTTATTTTAAGATTTGCTTGAGTATTTAATTAATTATGATTGATTATATTGTAGTTAGTAAGTTTTTGTTACCACTCCCGCCGACACAAAATATGCAAATTGTCACACTTGTCACTAAAGACGCCTGCGCTTGCTAATTCTACCAATGGCGCCAAAAACAAATAAGTTAAGCAGTTACACTCCTTTTAATCTATATATAAATAAAGATTAATCGAAAAGTAAGTTGCTTAGCGCAAAACTCGAAGACGGCTGGACAAATTCGAGTTTTTTTTTATTTATTCCTTGAACTCTAAGGAAGGTTTGTATGGAGAGAAAATTTTAAATTTTTTGTTAAGTAATAATTTCATATTAAGGCGAAACGAAGCTCGCAGCTAGTATTCAATAAAGTTCAAACAACAACATTAAGGGAGACTCTTGACTGGTTAGAATTTTACATTTTGTACGAAGGACCTTATCATAATTTAACTGTATCCGTATATCCGTATTGTTCTGTAATATGTATTTTGTTTAGTAATTTATAAATAGAAGCAATAGCCAAAATTTACTCATTCAGTCATCACCTCCATTAGTTTATTTCCTTAAGAGTTTGATAGTGAAATCACTAAACAATGTAGACGCTTATTTACTTGTACCACACCTCCAATATTTGGCTTCGATCCAAACATCGTGGTTCGTGTGCATTTCTCGAGATCCGTGTTAATGTATGTGAATGCACGTAATTATTCAATTGTTAGTCTTCCTTTGAACAGTTAAACATTATTACATTAAGGTTGGTAAATCGGAATTCTGTAAGGGTTATGAAACCGCTACCTTGGGAATACGTATGCCACTGTATAGCGAGCGTTTATTCATATTTTTTTAAGTATGATAATACGATACTACCAGTACACTATGTTCTCTGTACTGTGAAAACATATAAGGTGCAGAACTCATTATATAAATATTGGACTAAAGAAAATTATTTTCGTACATAAGATTATAATATATATTATACTTTGAAAAAGTTTAAAAGTTTGACGCTACGTTTTACAGACAAAGTAGCAGACTCATAAATTATATAAAGATCTGACAACTACGGTCCGTACTGAATCAACAAAAGACAGTAGACGAGTCTGAAAAATTTGGCCAATCATTCGGTCATTACTCCTGAGCCATTGAGTCATTTGTCTTATTCGCGCGTTTATTTTCATTCAATTTGGATACATGCCAAATTATAGTCAAGGTCATTTTTAGTTCACACTGAAAAAATACCTTAACTTCCTAAAAGCCTTTTTCCATTTTACATCTCGTCAAATATGTGTTATTGTTATCTTGCTCAAAAAAACATGCATGAGCACTATTTCACAAAACTTCATTAATGGTCATTAAATGATACGTACGCACCTTGCCGAGGTGGGAAAGTTCTATTCCTATTAATATTTTCAACTTACTCATTTACGTCTCCGCATGTTAGATATTGAGCGAATCAAATTCTTAAAACTACTCTACATTCACAAGTATGGGACATTTTTGAAGCTAGAATAAAAAAAAAGATATTCTGAACAACAAAGCGTCAAAATGGCGGGAACATCACAGCGCATGCGCCAAAGCGGCTTTACCACAGATAAGTAATAATTAGAATGTGCCATAGAGATGGCGCGAATCTTACGTGCATTCCAACTGCTCAAAATAATTTAGGGAAAATTCTCTCTCAATCTTTGAATTTTGCTTGTATTTAATAATTTAGCGTTAGAATGTTACCGTTTTGGTTTTATAACCTTAATATAAAATCAACGTATAAAGTACGTCGTTATGGGTTCGTTTGAAGTTTCTAATTCATTCGCAATTTATGCGAGAGTATGAGGGTAAATACATTATGTTTTGCAGTCATAAATTGCATTGTCTTTGAATAAAGTGTGTACTTTAGGTACCCAACTTTTAGATACGAAGTAACGATGTGTGCGTAAACTTTGCCTTTGAGATGCCCTGATTACATAGGCGTAATAAAAGTTCTTCATAATACCTACATATTCGTACAAATTTGAAGTTATTCTCACATTTCATAAAAATTGCCAGTTTAGACATTTGTCTATAGATGCAATAAATCTAGAACGGTTCACCTATTGATTTTTATTATATGTACTTATATTCTAGGTACTTAATTTGCTCGGCCAAAAAAGAATAGATAAGCCCTTGGACTTGCGACGTTTTTATGGATAGATTTTTGAGTTTATTAAACGTGTTCTGGGGATTTTAAAATATTTAAAGTGTGTCTATGAAGAAGACAGCTTATAAAATATCACAATGCGTTTAAAATTTTAATTTTTAAAGTTCTGAATCACGGAATTTCAAAATAGCCTGTGCTAATAAGGTTTAGTTATAAATAGTATATTTGTTTTAATTTTATAATAGTTTTGTTAGCCTGAATTTAAGGTGATCTTCGATACAATGAACGTCTTTGAACTACTGTGTAACAACGTATCTATTTCCGTACCCGTGGCTGCGCGTGCGATTGCTATTTATATACTAGTACAAATGTTCAATGCCTTAATTCTACTATCCACAGACTATATAACGAACAATATGGCAGATTATAAAACAATTATAAATTCCAGTAATGGTTTCGGCGTCGTTCAATTTTATTATATTTGCGTTTACGACTAACTCGCCTAATTAAACTGACATAAATAACGATATTTTATTTTCTCATTTTGATGATATTTCGTACCATTTTGTCTATATTAAAATTGTGCCGTAGTGTAGTTTGAACTGTCACTAGTCCCTCGGTTGAATTAAGAGCAGGTTTAACATTTTATTTGTTAACTTTAAACATTCCTTTAAACCTTTCTTGAAAAAAATACGATGTCTCGATATTTCTACATGTACTGTGCACTACGATGACGTCACGACCCTGAAAATCACTTACGAAGTTATTCCCGCCGCTCAGGATATAAATAAATATAATATATAATTTCTAGACCTTAGGGACCCACTGGGGCCTTCGCACTGACCAGTGGTTAGACTCAGATCCTCCCTTTAGGTTGGAGGACCAGTACACCATTCTTTTTATTATTAACCGTCAATGAAAATATCGAATCACGTGACATTTTGAACGCTTAATATTTTGTGTTACCTATTTACTACTTGACGAACAAGTCCTCTTTTTAATTATAAATAAGGATTTTATGTTTATAAATTTAATTTAAACATTTATGTCGAGTCGCCAAACGTTTAAAATACATACTCTATAAGATATTCGAAAATATGTGTCGAATTTTTATGCGATTTTCATAGCTTATTTTCAGAATTAATGTACCGTAAAAATCTGTTCATATATTTGCTTCTGTGCGATGAATCAGACCATCGATAACAATAGAAAATGGGGTAAAGTAGAGTAAAGGAGTAAGTGTAGCGAAAGAACTGGGAACTGGACGTTTGCAAATTATGTCACGAGACAATGTTTATTATTAATTATTAAATAATACTTTGTGCATAAAGGATAACTTTTACTATATTTGTTAAATTTACGCTGTTACCTACTACCTCCAGAAATGTGGAGACAAATGAAACAGGCTTATACCCAAGTGGGGTCCAATTTAATATTAACTAAGGGCCAGTTTTGATCCGTATAAAAATGGTTTTACCATTTGTACATCTATAGTTAAATAATAACCATTGGTAAAATCGTAAATGCGTTTTTCATGCCTTTTTACTAATTAAACTTAACAATTTTCAATTTTATCAATGAGCAATGACATCCCAAAAATTTTCTTTTTGTGGGAAATTTATTTTGTAGACAACACTAGACATATTGAGTGAATGAAATCCATTTTGCATCTTCATTCGTTATTTGGCTTTGAAGAGTTTGAAGTGTCAAATTAATCTAAATAAAGATATAAATAAAGTTGTTTTTCTGTATTTAATACGGTTTACACTTTTTACGATACTTAAATATAAAATAACGATGTCGAAACAGCCAACGGTCAAATAAGTAAGTACAAACATATTTTGTATTATCGTATGTTTTCGTAAAAGTAATACATTTATGTTTTGTTAAAGGACATACTGAAAAAGCCACTTCTATACTTGAAAAAAACTGCTGGGAGTTTAAATTAAAGTCGTAACCGAACAACTATACTGAGCAATAGATTTGAAATCTCTCTTTTCCTCAGATGGTCTAGACAAAGTTTAAATTTAATATACATTGGTGAGACATTTTTATATTTATTCTTGTAACTGGTCCTAAACAAAGAAAAAATCTTTTAACCCTTTGAAACAAGGAAGGGATTATATCCACAGATAAAAAAATTATTTTTGAAACAAGACAAATAAGAGAGGATGATTTGTTCATTATTGGAAGACATAAAACATTTGTGCACCATGAGAGCCACCAAAAATTCAAGAGAGGATGAAAAATATGAGATGGAAAAAGGCAAAAAAAATGATTGATTTAGGTGAATGAAGAAGAAACAATTAGAAAATATTTAATTGTACTTTAGGTTTCATGTAAATTTTTAATTTTTTAAAAAAATGGTTTGTATTTAAGTTATAATAAACAGTTTATTAATCAAGTAAATGTTTTATTTATAAATTCTTGTAAAAAGAGAGTGTAATTAATAAAATTAAAAAGCCTAAAGAATATCATAGGTCCCTAACAATTTAGCTGTATTTTTAGTATAATACATACGTATTATTATAATAATTATAAGTTAATATTATTATAATATATAAATAATATTAACTCTAATTCATTATGTATTCTATTGCCTATAATATTAACTTATAATAATTATAAGTTAATATTATAGGCAATAAAACACATAATGAATTAGTAATATACTTAATTATATACTGCTGCGGTTTGTAGTAGTAATGAAGCAAAATAGGTTTGTATGAGCTGCTGTCTATATATACTCTTGTTCTTGTATTTTATTTAATTATAAGTTAATATTATAGGCAATAAAACACATAGTGAATTAGTAATATACTTAATATATACTGCTGCGGTTCTGTAGTTAGTAATGAAGCAAAATAGGTTGGTATGAGCTGCTTCTATATATACTCTTTTATTGGAGTTTAAGATCATTCCCAATTTCAGTAACAATCAGAGACTGTTCCCTTCGATAGGGGTAACAGTGACAAAAATCTACATCATCCCAGGTTTCTAATGGCGGATGACATTGCCTAAATATTTTTGGTCACTCATTAACACATTCTCATATAATATTATCGTCTTCTTATCGTCTCATTAATTAAAGTATCTCAATATGTTTAAATTCATCATTAGATAGTAATAAACGTATTTATCATAGTTTGATTTCTGTGACAAACAGCTTTACTATATAAATTACAGCGGCCATCTTTTTAACCCTCCGATACTGAGTAGTTAACTTTTTTTGACTAATGGTTAATATTTTACCATTGATGTTTAAGGATCAAAAAACGCATTTTGTGATATTTAACTAATAGTAACATTTTTTACCAATAGTTGAGTTAACTACGGATCAAAAACGGCCCTAACTAATACAATCTAAAATTTAAGCATACTAAAATCAAGTAATAAATTTAATTGGAACTAAAAAAGTTTTTTATATAATCTAAACCTACCTAAGTTCAAAAATACCTTTCAAACAATTGTCGATGCATCTCCTGAGCTGCAATTGTGTTGTCTCAGAAATCATAAGCTACACTTATACCCTTTACTGTACGGTGCCTGTTTGTCTCAATTAGATTGTTTACACATAGTCTACCTACAAACTCGCTATTCTTGATTTATTCTAACTTTGTATTTACCAAGCTACTAGCTATGTCGAGAAATTAATATATTGTAGTTGAATGTAACAAAATCTTATGACGAAGAATTAATTACTTTAAATTCGATATTAAATATAATTTTAATTAGGTTTACTGTATAATTGTGATAATGTATACTACTAGTATATGCGATATCAAATGGTAGAATAAATTTTTTGTTTCTATAATAATAGCTATCTATGGATGCATTATTTCAGATAATTGGGAAGATTACACCCTTATTTAATATTAAACAAATTCTTTGAAGTCGACAATAACGGATTGGCTTTCTATTTAATATAACTTAATTATACAATAAAATACGGTTATAATAAAATCTATCTTTTTGTACGATTTTGTTACATATTTTTTCTTTCTTTAAATTTTGTCGTTTGGTGGTTGATGATAGTGGTTGGTAAAAATATCGGGACGTTTCTGTAAGTGTAGATTTGGTAATATGTTAGTTTTGTGATGTTTCTATATCATCATACTTTCGTATTTTCAGAAACTTTTTTTTATTGAATTGATAAATCTTATTATATTAATTATTAAATATTATTCTTACTTTAATATTTTTCTATTGGGCGGCAAGCCAGAGTTCCCTAGGCGGGTTTATTTTCTAGATAACCTTAACTTATATTTATTAAAATACTCAACTCCATACCTCCAAGATCTCGTCTCCAACTTTTACAGGTGGCGAAGATTTAGCAGCAGACCCAGCTGGGTGTATCCCGCAGATGAAGACCGCCATCTTACTCCTGTCCCTGTGGCCGGCAAGACTAAGACCAAGGCCGTGTTTGGCAGACTTCTCCAGTTTGCACACGATAATACTCTCGCCGAGCGGGCCATACTTCTTTTTGATTTTATCTGGAATAATGAATGTCGGCTATTATAAAATATATGCGACCCAATTTAATCTCGTCAGCCAAACAGCCCGGGTTGAGTTTTAAACATTTGAGTATTAAAAATACATAAATCGGTGGCGTTACAACCTTTAAAGGCCTCAGACTTCTGTATCTATTTCATGATCATTTGTCAATCTTATAGGCAAGTAGATGATCAGTCTCCTGTGCCTGACCCACGACCTGACAGCCTTAATCGGGCCATAGACGGACCGCATGTTGCAGTCAAGACCGACTGCAATATGCGGTTTGCTCTGGAACTGCTCGAGCGGTCCGTGTATGGCGGATATGAATTTAGTATGGAAACTGCAGATCGCCGTGCGGCGACCGCTTAGAGCAGTCGGTATCGGCTGCAACATGCGGTCCGTCTATGGCCCGCTTTAGACTTAGGCAAGCCGGTTTCCTGACGATGTGGCCCTTCACCATTAGAGCGAATGTTAAATGTCCACATAGAAATAAAGTTCTTTGGTGCACAGCCGGGAATCGAACCTACGACCTCAGGGATGAGAGTCGCACGCTGTATTCGCAAGGCCAACACGGCACTGCACTGTTGCTTTAAACATTATGACGAGAGATTAAATAACAGGTAAATGTATTAAAATTCCTATTACCAGTGTCATACATGTTTCTACGTCTATTTTGATATTAGATTTTCAAGACGAGAGCAGTCCTCTGTTCCGGAACAAATTCTTATAATAAGATTATTCATATCAAAGAAGTGAACTTATACAACGAATAAGTATTCAGGGACGAAATTCTTCCAGAACTTAAAGGTACACGGCCACAGACAGCAAACATTCCAAATTTGTTATAGTTAGCTCTTTATCCATTTTTAATTGTAATTGTTATTACTAAGAAGTGTGATAAACTATTACTAAGATAAACTATTAAAAAAGAAGAGCAATATTACATAATGATTGAGTTTTGTGTTTATCAGATTATTGCGAATATTTCTATGCCATTTTAACTGAAAATACAGTCAAAACAAAGCCACAATGCCTCCAAGCCACAATAAAATATTGTAAGGCAAGGGAAATTGTGTTGTTTGAAGATTTTGAAGAAAGTTCGAGTGCAAGACTGATTAACTTTCGGTTTTATTCGCGTATAGGTACTTAGTTTTTGCGAATGTATGTAGCTCTGTGATTATCTAATATATAAAATTCTCGTGTCACAGTTTTCGTTGCCATACTCCTCCAAAACGGCTCGACCGATTCTCATGAAATTTTGTGTGCATATTGGGTATGTCTGAGAATCGGACGACATCTATTTTTCTTCCCCCTAAATGTTAAGGGTAGTCCACCCCTAAATATTTTTTTTTTATTTTTAGATATTTTTTTCTGTTTTTATTTTTTTATGATACAGCATTAAAACATACATACAAACCCCTAACTTTCACCCCTCTACGATCAACCCCTATTTTTTTATTATAAATGATATATATGGCAAAACGACGTTTGCCCGGTCAGCTAGTATTATTTAATATTGTGATTATTCTTCTTTTATGTCTAAAACTATCCAAATATGTGACCAACCCCTCATTGCAACATTAGTATTATTAAAAAATACAAGTACACTATGATTTTTTGATTTCGAATATGATTTTGTCCCATTCGCTGTCAAGACCCTTGGCCCGTGGGGTCCTAGCGCTATAAGGCTTTTTAAGGAAATAGCAAAAACGTTAGTCCGCATCACAGAAGACCGAAGACCTGGAATATTCAAAGGGGGAGCGCTGCCAGTATCTTCGGAACCTTGCCTAAAGGGACTCCATTGAATAACATATTTTAAGGTTAGTTATTGTTTTTTTTTTGTTGTTAATTAATTAATTAGTATATTATTTAAATATTCATAATTATGAAGTACACTTTTGCTTCAAATTTAACAAACAGAACCTTGCCAATAAATCACCCAAGCGAACACCAATATATTAAGTTATGCGAAAAATATATTTTTACAATATAATCAAAAGTGGCAACTATATTTGTTAATATATTGTATATGTACTGCAAATCTTATTACTACCAATTCACTTGGCCAAGAAAATAGTCCATTATCTCCAATTTTCTTCAGAAAATGTAATTTTCTTGGTTGAGTACATTTTGTTCGGAAAAACTAGTTGATATTTCGTAACCTTTATTTTCGCAAGTACATGTTAGTTATTATTAGATCTTAATATGATCTCTGGGCTTAGCGTCGGATCTTCGAGCTTCATAAGACGTTTCTATTAAAATAATATTTTATTACTACATATATATTTATATATATATATTTTTTCGTGATACGATAATTTATTTCGCCACACTAACAGCGTTCTGTATTCAAAAAACTCAATTCGAAATAACGTGAAAACGTAAATAAATAAAAATAAAAAAAAGCTTTATTCAAGTTCTATAATAATTACAGTAAGTTTATGTTGTTGTTTAATATTAGTACACGACCTCCGACGGGGTGAAGGCCTCCTCCAAATTCTTCTATTTGTCTCTTATCTTCGCTACTATTTCCAATCTTTAGTAAATAGAATAGGTATTATATATATGAGCAGTGTGGGCCTAGTGGCTTCAGCGTGCGACTCTCATACCTGAGGTCGTAGGTTCGATCCCCGGCTGTGCATCAATGGAAGTTTCTTTCTATGTGCGCATTTAAGATTTGCTCGAACGGTGAAGGAAAACATCGTGAGGAAACCGACATGTCTTAGACCCAAAAAGTCGACGGCGTGTGTCAGTCACTGAAGGCTGATCACCTACTTGCCTATTAGATTTAAAAATGATATTGAAACAGATTCAGAAATCTGAGGCCAAGACCTAAAGAGGTTGTAGCGCCACTGATTCTTTTATATATACTCGTATCACAAAGTTCGTTCCCATATTCCTCCGAAACAGCTCGACCGATTCTTATGAATTTTTTATGCATATTCAGTAAGTCTGAGAATCGGCTACTATCTATCTTTCAAACTCTCAAGTGACAAGGGGTGTCCACCCCAATATTTTTTTAAATTTTACAACATACAAAAATACGTACAATCCTTAATTTTTACCCCTCTACGATCAACCCCTATTTTTTATTAAAGTTATTTTTATTGAACTAAAACAATGTTTCTTAGAAATAATATAAGTACATGGCAAAACAACGTTTGTCGGGTCTGCAAGTATACATATAAAATTGTTTGATTTGACTGATTTGAACTTGAGATGCATTACAATGTGATGATGCATCGGCTTCATTAACATTATCTAAATGTATATGGATGTTCTTGTGAAACCAAATAGGCCATCACACAGTAATTTTCAATTTTTAAAGCAGACCCGATTTTCGAAGTCAAAACCTATTTAACATATGTATAACATTATACATTATACCTCATGACAGTATCAAATGACTTCATATTCAAGAAATTCAAGAAATCTTTGAATCAGCATAAATCATAATGTTTGACCTCAATCTCTTGACCCGACCCTGTCAACGAAGATTGTCAATATTTGGAAACTTTGCAAGACGATATAACACGAGCAAACTTTGATTTATTCTATAAAAGTCCTCATATAAGTTTATATGAAGAAAATCCTTGGCACTCGCTACCTGACTTTACGAAAGTGGATATTTTTACTATAACACGTGTTTTATACTTTATTATATGAAATATATCCTCTTAGAAATATAGTTGAGTATTAAACCAGTGGCACCATTTTAGGTCTGGGAATCAGATTTCTGTATCTATTTCATGATCACTTTTCAATCTAAGAGGCAAGTAGGTGATCAGCCTCCTGTGCGTGATACACGCCGTCTACATTTTGGGTCTAAGGCCACCGGTTGCCATAGAGACTCATAAGTCCATTTGTGCACAGCCGGGGATCGAACCTACGAATTCCACTAGGTCAACACTGATCTCATTAAGCATATAGAAATATAAGCAGCAGTATGTCCAAACCATTAGATCCTTCAAAGCGAGAAGAATCAGGTATTGCGGAGTAAAAATCAGGACGAATAAACCTGGATTGAAGGTTTACGTCCAATAATCGCTTCGGCAAGAATAGAAATAATAATCGCTTCGGCAAGAGATGAAGTCATAGATGTAACCAGCACGACAGCTTTGGTGGTTAATCTAATTTTTGTTTTTATTTATGATTTAATCATTTGCTTGGGTTCCCTGGGAGCCCTTAGTTGCGATATTTTTTTATTTCCTAAATCGTTTTGGAAATCGAAGAGGGTTAGGTTATTGGATAAAGAGCACTGTTGAGAACACATCCCTTACTATGAGCGTGACGTATACCTATTGCACGCAAACTTAAATAAATCGCTTTCAGATATTTCTCAGACAATTATCTCTTGCAATATCGTATGACCTATAAGCTCACATATTACACGTGCCATGTCTGGCCCATATAACTTAATTATATTAATAATCACCACGAGGCGTAATAGCTAATCTGAGCATATTTCGTGGCAGTTAAAGCAATAAAGTGAAGGACAAGTCAGGACAAAACCTAAAGACCTCTTAAGTATGTAATAAACTTCTTTATTTAATTAATCACTTAGGTCTTTATTCGTGGGTTATTCAATCTGTCTTAGAGTTAAGACCCTCAGTTTTACGATTTGGAGATGGAAATCGGTCTTTTTCGCAAGCCGTAAATATTTTTGGTAGTAAACCGTCAAATTGCTACACAACATTGTCGCTATCTATTACTAACATACAACTATTAATAATAGATAAATAAGTGAAGTTTTTGGACGCGTGTCAAGTATGTACGTTTACAATAAAGATAGTGTTTGTTATACGTATAAGATATTGAAATAAAAAAATTGTGCGTGTACTAGGTGTACACACGTAAGAAGTGAAACTTCTTTATGATCTTATTTTTCGAAAAATGATCTACTATATGCAACTTTACAGAAATTCGTTAAATTAGATAAAGTTTAACAAAAGGCTTTTATTATCATAGACATGAATACAAATACTTCATTTTACCTTATTACTACGAAGATTATTATAGAATTTCATTAATTGTAATAGAATTATTACTATCATTGAAAAACGTGACGATTTGCTACAAAATTTCTCCCATACGTCGATAAAGAAGTTTCATTCCAACGCCGATAAAGAAGTTTGACTTCAAAAAGCAACATGGCGCGTAACCGAAAAATGTGACGCGTATCGAAAAAAATGTTACACTAAATTTTTTTCCCACCTCGATAAAGAAGTTTCACATCAAAAACTATTCTTTGTTTTCGGAAACAACTCATGCTTTAGTATAAAAGTGTTCTTGAAAACAAAAAAGTTGGTGCGTAAAAGTGTCCAAACTCCACTTTATCACTGAGAATGGGAAATATGAAACCTTGGCGGTCTACATTAAATATTTTTTCAAAATTAGGCTGTGGTAATGTTTACTAATATTTTACAGATATTGGATTCTTAATTTATTTTGGAATTTCGATTCTTCATTCCAAAAGTGGATCTTTGACTTCTCATGCAATCATTTAACATAATGTTAATACGTTACGATCAAGTCTGATTCAGAGTTGATATTATGATTAAATAAATTTTACTACAGAGTGATTAATTATTTTGTAAGCTATATGTAATCTCGTATTGTAATGTCCGAATTACAAAACGGATAATGATGTAATTTGTC